TTTTTTTGCACACGGCGCGCTACTAAAGGCGCAAGCGTCTCCAGACACTGTACAAGTCGCGCACACACAAACAAAGGCACAGGCATTGCTAGCGCTAGCGACTTCTCGATCTAAAACCATTGCTGCACTGGCAGGCTTTCCATCCTTGCCATGCAAATAGGCAAGCTTAACACCACAACCCTTTGGACACTATAGGGAAACCACCCAAATATCCAGAACAGGAAACATCGCAAGCCTGGGGCTGTGCGAGAGGATTTAGTGCAACTAACAACTCACGTTAGGTCACCACTTTGGATTCAGACCAGGGACCTCATGGTGGTCACAGTTGCGGGCACCGCTCGCAGTCGAGCTACCTTCCGGCGCAGTTGAAGGATTTTCCCATCAATGAAGTCACCGGGTGGTGGTTTATAGACCATGCTAAATCCCACGGACTCACACTTGGCTGCCCACGTCGGCAGGGGTCCTCGTTGCTCAGAGCCGTGAACGGCCACACCATGGAGGCCTCGAAGCCTGTGGCGCACCGTTGGGCTTGTCGCACGCGGATTTCGCAGAGCGAGCAACCTTTTTGGAAGCGGTCGCACGGGCGACGCACGCACGTGTGGGCTGTTGGTTGCGCTCCCCCTCTGCAGGTGGTCGCCGATGAGCGCCTCTTGACCCGTCTTTGGCCGGACGACCCACGTCTGCCGGATGCCCGAAGCCCAGACTTTGGGATATATTGACCATCTGACATTTGCTCTGCCTGCCCTGCGGCGCCTACGGGGTGCTTGCGCTCGGTTCTGCTGCCGTGGTGTCGCGGAGTCCTCCGACTGACCTCGATTCGCCCGCGAGGTTTGCGTGCATGGCACCTACCAACGCCATGTAGATTCGATTCGGAGGCCCGTGTCACGCGTTCGAGTCGGGTGACGGTCTGTCTGCTGCGCCCGCCGGGTGTAGCCTTTGGTTTTCCACGCAGTTTCTGGTGATGATGGTGCTCGCATTGATCCTGTGCTTCTGTGCCACATCCCTCGTCACAGGGTACCTGACTACGAAGAACCGACGGTGGCCCCTTCATTGAAGGGGGTACTTGTTCGTACCTTTGCGGTGACATGGCCACGCAGTTTATCTTTTGTGATTTTTGCTTGATGGACTGCTCAGCCACCTCCATTTTCTAGGGTCGCCTGTATGTATATCCTCTCGGTTTGGGAACATGTCGGGTTTCGATGCGCCTCGGATGGTGCAGACAGACTTGTTCAGATTCCAGACAGCACTGGCAGAACGGCAGTGAGGAAGGTGCAAATGACATGGCTGGTTTTTAATACACCTTGTCTCCGGAGTCTCCTGTCCTGAGCAGATCATGCATGTGTTGACGCCTCGGATGGTGCAGACAGACTTGTTCAGATTCCAGACACACCGAAATTTACTGAGGTGCAAATGACATGGCTGGTTTTTTATACACCTTGTCTCCGGAGTCTCCTGTCCTGAGCGGATCATGCATGTGTTGACCCCTTCTTCTCGCCGCTCCGCGGTGCCAGGACTGGACTTGTGGCGGGGCGGAGGCATATCCACTTTGCGCTTACGACCGCGCGACCCGCGTGTCATCTCGGGCCTGCGCGCCTCGGCAAGGAAGGGGGACGACCCACATCTTTCACCGTGGCCGCTGGGGTGCGCTGGTCGCGCCTTGTGGGGGGGGTTCGGACCGTCGGTGGCCGCTTCTCTGGCGGTGCCGCGGGTATGGTTCTTCCTCTATCTGAGGTGCGAACTGCGAGGCGCGGCCGAGAGAAATATTTGCCAGATCGTGTCGGGTGGCATCAGAAGCTGTAGAGAAGCGGGAGAGAACCGGTAAAGATGGCCTCCTGCAGGGAAGACAGTGAGCATGTTCCTTGGCATCGGGCCGTTTGGCAGCTGGCTGTCAGGCTTCGCCACTCGCTTTCTCGTCTCGCGTCACCGTGCCTCGTTCGGGCGAAGTCGGTCGGACGGACCGTGAGAACACCGGACGGTCGGTCGGTCATCCAGTCTTCACTTGATACTCTGGAGGTCCCCCGACCCCTTGAGGAAGTTATTTCGTAGAGTTTCAAGCTTTTTATTTGAATTCTTTCTTTGTCGTGTCGTGTTCTTCACATATTGTTGAATACCTCTTTGGCATTTCGGTTCTGAAGGCCAAGAGCATAGGCATGCAAGTTTCCGTTTACTGCGACATTTATGGTGCAGCTTCGATATGCTTAAATTGTCCCTAGCGAAAGTAAATAATACGTATCTCGAAGTGTGCAAGATGCATGGTGTATGAGTGTAGTGCCTAGATACGGACAGCGGAACAGGTCTGCAAGGATCTAGGGGCGAGCACCTTTCTTGTGTTAAACTGGCACATTAACCCCCCAAAAGGGCTGAGGACCAACAAAAAGGAACCAACAACAAGACAGAAAGATATAAACGAAAGCATTAAAAACCAAAAAGGAAGGAATGTTTTTTGTACCAAGAGCCTGGGTTGGGGAAGGACGCTATCGTTGGCTCACCCTTTCAGGGTCTCGTGCTGAGCGTACATCGCTGGGCGTGCTGACGCACACCTGGGAGACCGGTGACGGGGTACCTCCGGCCCGCACGGTTCGGGTCGCCTCGCGAGGTGGCAGTCTACATTGACTTGCCAGCTGCTTTGCAGGACTTGTGGGTTCGGATTGCAGCCACGGGGCCGTGAATGGGAACGTCTAGCTGGCTTTGTGTGGTCGGGGAGATGCGTTTTAGGCAATAGCTCTTTCTGTTCCACCATAAACCACCTCCCCTCCTAAGGATACCTGGGTCCCAATATTTTTTCATGGCTGGTTTCAGCAAGCGGGACGCGCTTTGATACCAGAAGGTCTCTCAGCGTGATTTGGTATTAGCTTCCTGATGCAACTCGTTCCAGACGTGCAGAAACCTTCCAACTCGAAGGGTCTTCCTTTTTCCCCTGCACAACTACTTGATGACGTTATACACTGTATAGGGTGCACCCACATGGTCCAAGGTCCTTTTTTGCTACGGGGGTTCATTTTTTCCTCGGTAATCGGGCTTCGTTGGGGAAAGCATAGGTGTGGTTTAGCGATTGTCGATCCGGTGGATGCTTTGAAGAACACGAACCAAGCAAAGCCTGCTCATAAGCGTTTGTCGATAGAACTAGCTTCTACGCGGCAAAGCTTGTGGAGGATTCCTGGAGAAGCCGAAGGGGGCCACTGGATGCACGACAAGAAGCCCAAGGACGTGACCGACTGCGTTCGTTGGGTGAACACCAACGTGATGTTGGCAGAGTCTTTGACGAAGGTCATGGTTCGACCGATTGGCGTGAATAGTTTGGAGTCTACTCTACAAAGCGGGAGAGACTTATATACTTGGGAGACGACTTGGAGAAGTTGGTCGTTGTGATGATGACTGCAGACCGGATGCATGCTTTGGAGACGGACGTCATGTCCTACAGGACTACTTGGATTGTGAAGTCCGGACGCTGCAGCCAAATATACAGCCCCCTACTTTACTGTAAACCTTTCGGCTCCCGTAGCCATGCCAACAGAGTGACGGGTGCGATGTAGCGCGCGTTTTTGCGCCGCTTTTGCCAAGCATTGCACGTTGTTGATTTCTGCTGGGGCACCTCTTTTAAACAAAGGTGGGTTCAGACGGCCGCCACGGGGTCTGAGTCAAGCCGGGAAAAAGCAAAGCGGCCAGCTGTCTTCACATGTTTTGGAATTGTTATATTCCTTGGTCGCTGTTCAAGAATTCCCGTTGCGCGCTGTCTTCTGGTATTTCTTGCACGCGTTGCAATTTGGCGTTTTTGTGTGTTCCTTTGTCCCTTTGGGGCTTTGAGCTTGTTTGCTTGGTTGGTTGGTTGGTTGTGTTTTTGTTTGCTTTGTGTTGTTGCCTGTTCGTTTGTCTTTGTTTGGCTTCGCCTTTGTTCTCAAGTCTTGGTGCCTGGTCGCAGCTGCTATTAGCCAGCAAGCTGGCAAGGAAGCGCAGGAAGCAAGCAAGCAAGCAAGCAAGCAAGCAAGTGGTCCAAGCGCATTGAACATATGGCGAGCAGGCCAGCAAGACAATAAGGGCAGGAGCGTCGGCAAGCCGGATGCAGTCAAGCGATATCAAGCGAGCAAGCAAGCGGCAGAGCAAAAAAGAAGAAGCAGAAGAAGAAAAGGAAGTCCCGTATATACCGGTTCACTTCGTGGTTTCTTCTTTGGGAGGAGGTCTTACATGATCTTACGTGTAGTCTTGCGCCCTCTTCGGAACACCCTGAAATTTTCTCGACGATGTCTAGATTGGTTTGTGTTTGGAAGCTCGCCTTGCCCAAACACTTTTGGAATGCCACGCCTGCCACAAGCCAGCCAGCAAGCAACAGCTTCAGCCTTGTGGCCGCATCAACCAGCTTAAAGCTTGAGCAACCTCAACGCTCCAAGTTTCTCCTTGACAGTTCTTCATCTCACACCGACACCTCTTGCAAAATCCTTCCACCGCGAGAGCTTCCAGCTCTCTAGAAGCCAGCCCCCAAACAGTGGCTCTACTAGATTGCCAACCGCGCGCAACCACGGACAGTCCCAGCCTCCCGCGCCGCAAGAAAACCAACGACAACTATGTTCGGTTTTTGTGAACCCACGGCCAAGGTTGGGGGCTACGACTACGCCACCAGAGAAGCGGCGGAGGGCAAGTGCCACTCGCTGGGGTTTGAAGGGCTTTGCAGCAAGGCCGAGGTGGAAGGCTGGGTTTGGAAGATTCGGTGACGATTCAATTTAGTTTGGGGTGGTCATTTGGGACCTTATTTTAGTACGGCTGGCTACCTGATCAAGCTTCTGCGCTTTCAGCGCATGTGGCTCGTTTTCAGAATTGGGGAAAGCGAATCGCCCTAGCAGAACTGCGTGGTGCGAATCTTGATGCGCAGTTTTCGTGGCAGTGGCAGTGGCAGGCGCAGCGCTTTGTGGACCTTGACGCGCCGATTTCATAGCAGGCGCAGCGCTTTGTGAACCTGGAAGTGTAGATTTTGTGGCAGGCGCGGCGCACTGTAGACCTTGAAGTAGTGCACATTTTTTTCGTGGCAGGCGCGTACTTTGCGGGCCTTGAAGTGCAGAGCGTGCCACCGCAGTACTTTGTGGACTAATTTCGCGCGTAGATTTTACACTCTCTCCACTTCTCGACCTCTAAAACTCTGGACCTAGGCTAACCATCACCACCGCCATCACCTCCTCATCACCTCACCTTCTTCGTCACCATCCCCGCCATTACCACCACCACCACCGCCACCACCACCATCATAACCACCATCACCACCACCATCACCACCACCATCAACCCCACCATCA